ACGTAACCAGAGTGGTCATCAACAAAATCAAAACCCGGCGATAAATAAGCTTAAGGATCACAGGTACAACTCGTTCAAGACTTGGTCAGGGAAACTCGAGAGACAATTCACAAGAAAACCAACTTCCGTTGAACCGGAGGCACCAAACCGGACTAACCAGAAGATGAATACCAATGAAGCCATGCCCGTGGACCGTTACTATGATGCCTTAGAAGGTCCTGAATTGGAGACTCTCCGGGTACGTACCTAAGCTTGTTTTGATTTAATTTAAATTATAATATGATTTGGTTTCATGCAAAATTACCGAATCGTACGGAAATGAAAAAAATATGGATTTGTGATATGATTACGCTAGAAAAAAGCTAGGAAACTATATCAGAATTCTTTTCATATCAAATATTTTTCATTTGGGTTTAAATCTTGTTGTCGCGGAAATGTATGATTACAAAAAATTAATTTGTTATTCAGCAGATTACCATGAGACTAATGTATATATTTAGGAGTAATGTTTTCTACTTCTCATTTATTTATTTTTGGACGTCGCAGCCTCAAGAACAGATCGTTCTACCAAGTGACAAAACGTGGCCGTTTCTTCTGCGTTACCCGATCTCAACCTTCGGTATGTGCCTCGGAGTAAGCAGCCAAGCCATAATGTGGAAAACCCTAGCCACCGCGGAGCCAACAAAGTTCCTTCACGTACCACTATGGGTCAACCAGGGTCTTTGGTTCATTTCGGTCGCTTTAATCCTCACCATTGCCACTATCTACCTCCTCAAGATCATCCTCTACTTCGAAGCCGTACGCCGCGAATACTACCATCCAATCAGAGTCAACTTCTTCTTCGCTCCTTTCATTTCTTTACTCTTCTTGGCCCTAGGTGTTCCACCTTCCATAATCACAGATTTGCCACAGTTCCTTTGGTACCTCCTCATGTTCCCTTTCCTCTGTCTTGAGCTCAAGATTTACGGTCAATGGATGTCTGGTGGACAACGTCGGCTCTCCCGAGTTGCCAACCCGACAAACCATCTTTCGGTCGTCGGGAACTTTGTCGGGGCCTTGCTTGGTGCGACCATGGGACTTAAAGAAGGTCCAATATTCTTCTACGCAGTTGGGATGGCTCATTACTTGGTTCTGTTCGTGACTCTCTACCAAAGACTACCAACCAACGAGACTTTGCCTAAAGATCTTCACCCTGTTTTCTTCCTTTTCGTCGCGGCTCCAAGTGTTGCTTCCATGGCTTGGGCTAAGGTCACTGGCTCCTTCGATTATGGCTCCAAAGTTTGTTACTTTGTCGCCATTTTCCTCTATGTCTCTTTGGTACGTTTCACATCTAATTTTAACTCATACAAATTATTCACTAACTTTGTTTACTTCAGAAAAGTATTCCACTAACACAAATCTTCTCCTTCTTTGCTTTGCACAATTTATAGGCTGTTCGGATTAATTTCTTCCGCGGAATCAAGTAAGTTTTACAAAAATCCATTTATTAGATGATCAAATTCAAATTTTTGTTACTATTTGATTCTAGTAATCCACTAGCTTAACTTTCTCCAACTGTTTCCTTTTTCATATAGATTCTCACTGTCTTGGTGGGCGTACACATTTCCGATGACCGGAGCTGCAATTGCAACCATCAGGTACGCAACCGTGGTGAGGAGCACTGTGACTCAAGTCATGTGTGTGATCCTCTGTGCCACTGCGACGCTGGTCGTTTTTGCACTGCTCGTGACCACTGTCATCCACGCCTTTGTCCTCCGTGATCTTTTCCCCAATGACCTCGCCATAGCCATCAGCAACCGCCCGAGACCCAAACAGACTAGCCACCACCGGTGGCTAGACCAGCTCAGAAACGTAAGCTCAGAGAACATCGAGAATTACTTGAAATTCACAGACTCTGACAGCAGTCCGAGTAATGATCTAGAAGCTTCCAATGGCAAAACTCAAGAGAGTGATTCAGCATAATTGAAAACCATAAACCACTTTCATAACCCCTCATATAGTAGAGTCGTATCCCAAGTTTTGGTTTTTGATTTGTCGTCAGTGTCTCTGACACAAGTGAGGAACCTAGGAACGTAAATGTTGCTATGGTTCTAATGAGCATGTGTGTAAATTAGTAGTACAAAAATGATAGGGGTGTCTACAATGGTGAACAGTCTAAACGAAACCGGTATCAGAATACAGTGTGCTAGAATCTTCCAAGAGTATGTAAAAACTTGTTTTGTTACAATAAATAAAAGTTTTGAGGTTATCAACAGCATCATAAATTGTGATGGGTAAAAGCTCTATTCAGTTTGGTTCAGTTCCAAAAGAATCAGCGTTTCTCAAGCAATTGATATGGAACTCAACAAGACAACCACCAAGAAGCTAAGTAAGACTTAAAGTCCAACAAAAAGATCTGGATCCTATACCAAAATGTCTGGAGATAGATAGAATGTTAGTACCCAACAAAAAAAGTAGCACTAGTACCCAAGTCAGTGAAGTTCAGATCAAACCAGCTAAGAAATTGAAGCTCTCATAACCATTTGACATAACAACTTGAGATATATTGAAAAATCTCAATTTT